TGGCTCAGTACTGAACTTCCTGAATAGGAGGCATGAATCCCTGGGTTCCATCCCCAGCACCACTGCCCCTAGAAAAGGGGAGTGGAGGGACACAATAGAGTATAACGAACATAGTAAACCTAAGGACTGTTTTAAAGAAACCTGTCTTTCAATTATACTGCATTTATATGTGCAGTATATGGCTTTGTGAGGAAACGACATTTTTTAAAAGTTTGAAAAATGCTTTACCTACTGTAATTTCACTCTGGGGGAAATTCAGGGCAGTTGTACATTTGAAGGAAAAGGATAAAGTGAACAAAGAGATACAGTGTAGCGTGCCTTTGAACAGACAGATATACTACAGTAATTTGAGGCAAGATTCTGGAGCCAAAGTGCCTGGTTGAAATCTTGGTTCTCCCACACATTAGCTATAGGACCTTGGACAAATTATCTAACCTCTCTGGGCCTCAGTTTTTTTCATCTGTTAAGTGGGAATCTAATGATACTGCATGAGGTCGTCAAGAGAATTTCTGAGTTCTTATGAAGTTGAAACAAGGTTTCACATGCTTGTAATTCCAGCCACTTGAGAGGCTAAAACCAGTCTGGGCAACATAGCAAGACGTTTTATTAAAATAAAATTTTAAAATGAACAAATAGATGAGTAGTGTGCACAATGTTTAGAGCAGTGCCCAGGACACAGGTCTAAGGATTAGCTCTTACTACGCTGGCGGCAACCAGCAGCGTAACCTTGAGTGTGTGACCTAACCCCTCCGGGCCTCACTTTCATCAGTAAGAAATCTCCCGCCCTGCAGGCTTGAGCTGCATTGCCAGCGCTGACCTTGAGGAGAGAAGGCGCCACACGCAAATCATCCGTCTTGTTCAACTGGCAGGTCTGAGGTCTCAGCAAGGCAGCCTGCTCCGCTGATATATCCTGTAAACCAGCTTTCTGTTATCTCCTGAAACTCCAGGCCAGGTTGAACTCTGGGTGGTGAGAGATGGGTCAGATCAAGGAAAGCGCCCTTTCCCCTCCTCCCTCAGGTGCCTGAGGACAACAGCTGACAACAGCGGCTTCCTGTCTCTTCCACGCGTGCTTTTTTCTTATTCTGGGATAACCACAGCTAGGGTCAACAGGCAATCTGTCCCCACCGATGGAGTATTTTTTAATTTCCAATGTCCCCGACCATGAAATGCGATGTGAAGTTGCCTGAGGTTGCCTGAGGTTGGCCCAGCGTTTGTCACAAGTCACCTTTCACTGTGAAATCTGAAACTTCACCTAGCAACTATGCTCAGGAAAAAAATCACACTTCCTCTGCCTCTGCCTCTGTTGTCTCTCCCTCGCTTGTCACACACGCACATGCCAGCAAAAACACTGGCCAAATTGTAGCTGCCTGCTCACTAGTAAAGACACAAGAATGATCAATAATAATATTCTCACTCATAATTAAAGTAACGCAAATTAAGACATTGAGACACTTTTTAGCCACCTATTACAGATGCAAACTAATTAGTTCGAAAATACCCAAAGGAAAAAGAAACACTCTCATACTACATTGGCAAAGGGTTTAATTGGTAAAAACTCTTTGGCCTGTGATTTTGTGATGTCTGTCAAAAGAACAAATGCACATAACCTTTAAGCAGTCTGAAGCCATCAAGGGTTTGAACCAAAACAGCCACCTATATGCAAGCTGCTAGTTTGAGAGGAATAAATCATGATTTGCTTATACTTTTTTTATTTTTTGTGGTATTGGACTTTGAACCCAAGGCTTTTGCACTCAGCTATATCCCGAACCCTTTCTTATTTTTACTTTTTGAGATAAGGCCTCACTAAGTTACCTAGGCTGGGCTAGAACTTTTTGCTCCTCCTGCCTCAGCCACCTAGGGTGCTGGAGTTCTACATCTTTTTCTTTCCCAATGAACCATTCTAAGGTATACTCTATTAATATATTATTACTGCCTTAATAAAAAAGAATTTCAACTATTAAAGTTCTTAAAATGTAGATGTCTAAATGTTTTATTTTTACAAATTAAATTTCTACTTTTTCAAACTTACCTGCTCTTTTTTCTCTGTATTTTTATACTCTATTTTATACTCTATGATTTTATCTCTGTATTTTGACCATTACTATTTTATAGTCTTTTAAAAATTGTTCTATTATCTCAAGTACTCAGAGAGCTAATTTTTTTATTTATTTCATCTACACAGTCACTCCCTTATGTGATTCATTTCTTAGTCTGGTTTATAACTTACTATAAGCTCAAACTTCAACGGGAGTTATTTAGTCTGCTAAAGATCAGAATAAATAACTGATTTGTGCCTTTGCCTCCCACAGGGCCAAGGACATTTACAATTTAGAACCAGCTTTCCTATTCTTTCTTGACTCCAGGATCCCCTCACTGCGTCGAGAGTGTACACTGGACCCTCACTTCTATGCATGGCTTAGGCAGGCCAGCCGTTTTGATTTTTAGAGCAGACATTCCTTAATTAGTCCAGAGTCCCAGACAAACCACAAGCTTCCGTGCTGACCCTGTGCCAATCGGAGGAGGGTTTTTTCCATCCTTCCGTTACTAAAAGTCGGCTTTCCCAGGGCCCAGGCCCAGGCGTCCAGGTCCAGATCTGTATCTTTCCAGAACTCAAGGCCCGAACGTGTACCACCCCACTCTCTGAGTGGATGCTTAGCCCACTTAGAATCATCTGCACTTACATTCGCGTCGTGCCTCCGAGCTTTCTTCTCCCCTCCCACCCGAGATCCACACTTCCCTCTAGTGTTGATATATTTTATTTAGCAGTTCTGTGTTCTCTAACCTTTTGGCCCCTGGTATTCCCAGATGTTCAGTCTATTGTGCCTTGCTATCTTTCAGTAGCTCTTTCCAGAGTAAGCCTGGGCGTGAGATAGCAACTACAGGAGGAGTGTCCAACACAGACACGGGAGGGGAGGTTTCCAGAAACAATTCATCTATCCTGAGAGCTTCAGACTGGACATACAATTAGGCACAATTAGGGTGACAGGTTGGGGGATGAGGTGGAGGGAAGGCTGCAGGCAGAAGATAAAGCACGCGTGAGTATCAGGAAGCGGGCAGCTAACAGCACAACACATTCTAAGCAGCACAAGTTCCAAGCTCTGGGGGGAATCCGGTGTGGAACACGGAGTGAGATTCGAGGTTGGGGATACAAGAAGACGCCTCGACGGACCTAGGCCAGACAGCAGACAGGAAACCATGAAAGAGAGCATCAGGCCACAGGAGGAAATCATCAGGTATTTAAAAAATGAACGAATGTTTCTTACTTAAGTATGCATAGCCCGTAGAAACTGCCTCCGCAAATCTCCAGGCAGGATGAGGGCATTCAAGCACTAATCTTAACCTTCCCTCTAACCCTGAACTCCGAGCCAAAGGATTATAGGCTCAGGCTTACACCGCCCCCCAAGAAGGGCCCCACCTGCTTTGGGGACACACGGTGGGTGAGTGCCCCACCCATTCAACTTGTAGATATTTGGGGAATACACAGCTCTTTCAAGAACGTTTCCCCAAATCCCCCTATTTCTCTCCACTGGCCCACAAAACACAGCCATAATGATCCCCAAAATCGAGAAAGGGCTGTGAGCAACATCAAAAGCTTGAATCTGAAAGTACCCTGGGCCACTGGCCAGGGGGCTATTTTTAGAGAATTTTCTCGTTGCCTGTTTATCTTTCAGACTCAGCCTAACGCGTCCCAGGCCAGTGCTGAGGTGACTGGCCGGGTGGGAGAGGACGGAAGAAGGTGACCTATGAACAAATACCAGTAGCAAGGCTGGTGATCTCTGGACAGTGTTCCAGCGTTCCCAATTTAATTTCGCTGGCATCTCGGGCTCCGGAAGCCACTTAACGGAGAGCTCCTTCAAACCCCTCCTGGCCCCTCCCGCGTGTAGGATTGGGGCAGGTCACGAAGGGAAACCGGCAGAGGGATACAGAATTCCTAAACTCTTAAGCACGACCAGAGTGCGCCACCTTTCTGGCAGACCTCGGATTCGGGGTCCCCAGAACAGGGGTGGCGAGATGCATCTAATTTCCCGCCGCGCCGGGGGGAAGAGGGAGCCCCGCAGCCGTGCAGCCGCTCCCCTGCGCGGTTCCTCCAGACCAGGGCAAGAATGCGCCTTTGTATCTTACAACTAGGGGAGTTATTTTAATCCGTTCAAGCTGCAAAAGAGAATAGAGCTGGCGCGGTGTCTGGATTTGTATTTTCGTCCAAGGGACAAAATAAGTGGCCCCAGGAATTCCACCGCTCATAAAACGCGCCAGCTCCGGGCCCCGCGGGGACTTAACCCCTTCCGCCCCGCAGCCCAGACCGACTTTTAAGGGCGCACTCCCCGCACCCCTGTCCGCCCTCCCCGCTTTGCTCTCCGGACGACGCCGCCTCTCTCCGGGTCACTTTCCAGCTGTGCCGCGTCGTCTGAAGTGTCTGGGAAGTCGCCGGACAGATCTCCGCGGCGGACCCCGGGCCCGGCCGGCCTGCCCCGCGCGGTCCTCCTTAAGCAGCTCGGGCGGCTAGGTGGGGGCGGGAGTAAAAAGTTTCCGTGACAACCAGGAAATGAGTGGGGAGTAACT